ATATGTTGCTGCTAGTCATTAAGGATAGGCAGCCAGCACACAGTCACAAGAGATCCATGATTGCTTGGGTGAGAAAGAAACCAAAAAAGAAATTGCTTTTAGTTTTGTTCTAGTCAAAACACATCAGTGACTGCTTCAGAGGTGGATATAGTTCGGATCACTACTAGTGCATAAATCTGGGTTATTTTGGGTCTAGAACGACTTGGCTGTTATTATTTTAATATTTTTTGTTGCACGTACTGAGGCGGTGTTGTCAAGATTCATACTGCTGTATGAATAAGAAATGAGATCACTGAATTGTTTGTCGGTACAGAATGCACATTTGGTTCTTTGTGCAAGGGTTCTCAACGTAGTGGAAGTGTTGTCCAAGAATATGTCATTTTAAAGAAGATTATGTTTGGCAGTTTCCCTGGATATGTATTGGGATCTCAGTTTAGTGAGCATTTCACACATACTCATACACATTGGTACACAACCCTACATAAACAGTCCCTAGACTCGAGTTGTCACCGCTGTCACAGTGTGACATCATCAGCTGAGCTGGCAGTATCCCAGTGGTGTCCTCCGTCAGCAGAGTTCATCCCAGACGGGCAGTGGAGCAGGGATGACAGCCCAGGAACGAGAGCTCAAGGGCAGGTACAAACTATTGGCAGGACATTGGGGAGCAATTATGAGTGAAGCTCAAAGGAACCTGCGATTTGTTTAAAACAGCTCAGATCCCCGTTAAGAGATAACAGTTATCGCCAGCTAGCTAGTCACAAAGTAAGTTTGAAGCGTAACTGGTGACAGATTAATCAAATAAACTCTAACTTAACTTAAGAGTTTAGATTGAAATAAATTAAACTGGCTTTTCTGTCAGTAAAATCTTGTCATACGCCATCCAGGAAATAGTAAATGTAGTGATGTGATTAACAAGCTGGCCTTTTGTGAGCTTTTTCACTCCTCAGCATTTGCATCTTCAAGCCTATAGAAATCCAACAGGAATAGATTCAATAGCTACCACTGACACTCAGCACATCACTCTCCATAAAATACCTTAAAATGATCAAGGCAGACAGATAATGGCTTGGAAGAGGACTCGCCTTGCTGCCCTGTGACAGACATTTCCAATTAAAAAGGGTAAATAACTTTAGATTCATCTGTTTCACCCTGTCCCCAGATTTATCAGTCCATCGTACTCTAAATCCATTCACCCCTGAAATGGTAATATCACAGATTTGGATTTCCTAGGCAAAGAAAAATGTCACAGAGTTCCAATATCCTCACGCTCCTATTTAAATCTCCCTGCCCTGTCCATGTTAGACCTTTCACAAGGCAACCCAAGCGTGGGAGGAAGTCAGCGATATTAGTATACTAACATTGTACAAGTTTGCAGGACTGTTGGATTTGACTTTGTATTGATTCATATAGGGGAGCTGTTTCACAGTATATTGTGTAGCTACATTTGCCAAAAGGAAGGAAAGGGACCCAATGCAATCAAGGAAAAGCTTTCTATGTGTTGGTTATTTTCTACAAATCTCATACAGAGACTAAAGCTAACATTCCATTTTGTGTACAAACATGTCTGTGAATCCAGAGTCTGGTCTAGCTTCTGTGCTAAAGGCGTTCATTGTTGTAGTATTAAAAACACCCCAGTGAGCCACACTGTCTCTGTATGCGGCTTGTGACAGACAAGAAAAACCTGGAAAAGGTTCAGCCTTATCCTTCACCACCTATTGTTCTATGTGGACTATGTGTTAATTCATATAAGTGGACTCCACCCTTGCAGTTAGGCTTTTTCACTTAATCTAAATGCATAATGATTTCTATAAATGGTTAATGCCTTGATGTGTCTTTTACTGAAATTGTCAAAAAAAAAAAACAACACTGCATGTAACTGGAAAAAAAAAAATCAGAGCACCAGTTTTGTATACAAACCCAACACCCAGAAATTTAAATTTTTCCCCAAGTTAAAATTGTTGTACCTAGCCCAACCATGACCTAAATCTGGTACAACCGGTTGCACAGACTAATGCTGCAGGTGTGATGGTTTGCTGCCCAAAGTTTCACCAAGTGCTAAAAAATGAAACCGGTTCCAAAGCCAAATTTACCCATGCTTCCATCACAAAAATCCAGCCAAGTTCAGACCCCTGATGTCCAAACACAACATGAACGCATCAATATATAGCTGCATCAGCCCAACTCTGCTGGCTATCTGGGCTACTTGCCCTTTTCAAATAAATTCTGCCTGTATTAACAGAATTCTGCTTTATGATGGTAGGGACCACCCATTCTTTAAAAAAAAAGCCTATCCTTTTTGTAAATGAAGTGTCATGACTCATTAATGTGATGAATGACCAAGCATCTCCCTGTGACCCTAGCATCAGCCCAGGCGTCACTCTTGCAGGCTATTCCAGGTGAAAGCCCAAAATTTAAACGTGTGGCTCTAAGTGCTGAGGCAAGCAGGTCTGCTCTTTTCAGATATTGAAGCTCCTGAGGAGCTATTTCACTAGTAATATCAAATCATTACGTGCACCCATATTCAGTCACTTAGAGCTATAGAGAGATGGATGGAAAGACAAATAGAGGCCACTGTCAGCTGTAAAGGCTAAATGCATGTAGGTCACATTATGTTGGAAATATGGAATCAAAACTCTTTGGTCCTAATTCCATTTTATTGTCCACAAATGCTAATTACTAATAGCAATTTTAATTCATAAAGGAGGTGATCAATAAAACACGATTTGGCAAATGTGTCATTACTTATAAAAGTAACTGAATCTCCAGCCACATCCATCTCTGATAGAATCATGCCTTTAACTTTGAATGGGTCCCACAACTTTGTGTATACCTTCAATTATGCATAAAAGACATCATGCGGTCCTTCAGGTGTTCAGTGTCACTGGGTAAAGGTAAGCTAATGTACTCAAATGTCTTTAGTTTAGCCCTTGTATTATTTCATTCCACTTTAAGGTATTAGTCTTCAGCTCTTCTCTCAGTACACAGAGTACATTCGGCTTTTGAGGAAAAATGGCAGTACTTTTACGTATGTTTGTGCTTCTGGGTATACAATTCTACGGTGCTAAACACTCACAGGTTCACACAAACCACTTAATACAGAACATTAAATCTGGCAGCCACATTGTGCCGTTGACTGTACTGTATAACACACTGTAACACAAGTACTGATTCCTTGCAATTATGTCCACATGGAGTCTGTTCATAAAATCTATTATAGCCCAACCACTTTAAAAGACACTTACCTGGGTGCTGTACTCTGACTCTTGGATGGCTGGACGTGGTTGCTATGAGAACCGGCCTGCAACACAAGGGAAAAAAAAAACAAAAACATCAGCAACTGCTGTGCTCACAGGTGGGCATTTAGATAGTGAAGACAAAGTACAGATGACTGATTTGATGAACTGTCAGCTCTTGAACAGTGTAGCCTACAAACAGTGTGGCTGACTAATGGATTATGTGAAATGCACCTGCACTTATTAATAAGCAGCATGTGGTACAGTGTGTGTGTTGCTTGTTAATTAGCAACTCCAGTGAAACATAATGCCAAATTCCCAGTCCGTACACCGCTCAGTTTCCCACTGTTACGAGTCACAGTCAGCCATCTGTAAAGACTTCCTATTTCTTTACCAGTAAAAATACATTTTTTCCATGGAACCTGTGAATGTCATAGTCATCCATCTATGTGTGTGTGTGTGCGCTGGACATGCACACTACATGCACAATTGCAGTTCGGAGAAGAAAAGAGCTGAAATGTAAGCCAGATGCCTCCCTCGAAGGGCTGGCTGGATTTGGCATTTGGCAAATGCCCGCCTCACCCACATACATGCCAGAAAGAAAGAACAGAAAGCAAATGTGCCCCTCCTTATGGCAGGTCAGATTTTAAGGCAGCCCAGATATTTGAGGGGCCTAATTACAGGGCTAAATGTAAAACTGGCATATGATGCTTTTGCCTTAAGGGCTTGATTTCCTTGTTCTCTGCTGTTTTAACAATGAGGCTGTACTTGACAGTCCAACTGAGTCTGTGTTTAAGTGGCTCTTGAGTTCAGCCTGTTTTGTGTAACAAAAAGTGCCACAGAAGATCAACTTGAAACTCAAATATGAGGCTAATAAATGCCCATCAGGACACTTCTATCAGATGCATCTAAAAGTCAGCGAACAGAGATAAACTAAAACCTATTTTTGACAACTTACTGATTGCTCACCTTGCATCAAGACAGAACTTCTAGACATTACACTAATTTAAGTCTATATTTGTTGGTATTTTTTTGCATAGCTACTGCAGTGCAACGGTTTTATCGCTTGCATAATAAAACAGGAGACACAGGTTTGTCGTTCAGTTCACAAGACTTGTGCCTCTAACTCTACCGGCTGTCATATCATTCCACAGGGTGTTAAGTTCATGAAGAAACTCAAAATTAAACCAGCATTACGCAGCTTTGTTAAATTCACTCACAGGTATCATTTAAGCTAAAGGTTAAGCTAAACACCTTTCCAACGTTCAAAAAACTGTCAGAAGGATGATACCAACCCAGATGATATTAAACACACAGTAAAATATATTCCAACAAATGTGTGAACTATTTGAGTGTTCATTCTCATGCTGAGACTTTTTTGATTTAAAGAAATAGCTGACAAAATTTTGGTTAGAATTATGAAGCACAGTAGAATAAAACATGAAAATGGGCATGATGAACAACAACACCATTTCCTAACTTTTGATAGTCTTACTTTAGTTTGGCTTCTGTAACTGACATGCGCCTGCATACTGTATTTCTGCCATGGCCAAATGCCGCTGGAGACGGGATGATCCCCCTGGTGCTTTAGCAATCTGGGACTCCATTCCCACTTCTTACTTTTCCCAATTTGCGTCTGGAAGTCTCCGAGTCCTTGTCTTCATTAAGGGAGTTCCTCATTGATCAATCACTGTCAGAGGAGCTGCTCTGTAATTGCACTGTGGCCTAATCATGACTGACGTCTCATCCCCTCCTGCTCTGTCACAGGTCTCAGGAGAGAGAATGTTCCATGACTTTCACACCTTCAACCTCAAGGTAGGTCTCTCTAAGGAGTTCACTTGTCTCTCTGTGGTTTATCTTTTGAGCTATATGGTTTTATAGTGGATATCATAACAACTTTGAATAATTGTGTAGGTGATGAGGACAAGGAAGCTAAGATGGTAATGTGAGAAGGACAGTTTGAATGTTTGAGGGCCACAGTGGCATCACTACTGTTGGTTTTTCCCCTCTGATAAACAGCAAGCTGCTTTGAGAAACTGTGAAAATCAGCTTTTGCTTTTTATTGTGCATGGCTGCAGTTCTCAGCTGGGGTTCTTAATATTCATCAAACATGCCACATTGTCATTATGAACTGATTGATATTTACTGTAGGATTTGTCACATTCATCGAATAAATCTTACGTCTCTAATGCAGCACCATACACTATGGGCCACTAAAACGAAGTATCAATATTTATGTGCTATTATTTAATAGTTTATCCTCACTTGAAACATGCAGACCTGCACTGTATGATACAAACCCACATTCAGACTCACATATTGTACAGTACGTGGGAAAATAAAACATCATAAACCTGATGGCCTATCACTGCTTAAATCTTCTTGTATCTACATGTTGGCTTTGTTTTGTACCACTGCTGAATCAGACTACGCAACACATTCAGTTGGACCAGAGAGAGAACCGAGTTCGCTTTCAAGTTAACTCACAATGTGAACGCAATAAGAACCGAGTCCCTTGTTTGTTGGTCTACTTTAAGTGGACTTAGTTTGGTTCATTTAAAAAGTACTACATGTGAAAACACCCTCAGACTACCTCCCTCCTTAGAGTTACTGTGTGTGGGGAGAGTTCAAGAGGAACTGCTTTGAGCAAAAGCAGCAGCAATATACTGATAAAACCAGCAAGAGAGTCTGGATTTAAGCCAGTTCATGCTCATAAGATAACTTTATGACCATTTACTGTGATACAGATACTGTAAGCTGCTGTAGTGCTCTACCAAGACAACCCTTCTTTAGCTACAGTATAAACTGCACAAGAGTGATGTTTCTTCATCTGTGCTGTTCATTGATTTTCCTCCCCAATAATACAGTAAATGGTTATTCAGTAGGTGATAGTGTCTCATAAACCATGAAAAAAATCCTGCTCACAGTTAACTTTTCTCAGCTGCAGCACACGGTGGGAAAGTAAGTTTGTCGCCAGCCCCTAATCTGTAGTGTCACATCAATACACTGATCTTTGGGGAACAGATTGGAAGAAATGCAAAACGATGAACAGTGATTTTCTGGATTGAAATGCATATCTGTGCCATAATATTAAACCCACTGGGATGCAAAAGTTCAGAAAACTCTGATTTTGTAAAATGATTTGTGAGTCTCCCATTTTTGCCGCCAAAATGTGTTTCACATTGGTTTGACAGCACAGATTAGTCTCAGGACTCTGATGATCTTGCATTAGCACAAAGTTCATTCTTAAACACAGTGACTGGACTGAATGCCTACCATGCATGTAAAATGCTGCCCTCAACACGTTACTCTGGAGGATTTTATATATAGATGTGCATGATATGTCATCTCCACAAGAGGGCATGGACACAACTGCAAACATCCCCTTCCAATATGCTAATGCTATCGCATGCCACGTTTGATACTAATGCATTTCATTGCACATTTTCAAATGTCACTGATATGATAGCTGCAGCAGTGGCATCAAAAATATTTTGACTAGGAGGGAAACTGCAGCACAGACCTCAGTCATTGTGAATTCTGCCCACAGTCTGAATAAGAGAAGGTCAGGAATGCTGAGCTCTCCCTCCTACAAAACATGATTGTTTTATTAAACTTGGAAAACACGTTGATGATTAATGTCGCTGTGGCAATACATAAACTGAATAATATGAAAATTGCTTTTCCCTGACAAAATAATGCAGCTTTTAACTCTGGTGGAGATAATGCACTGTCATTTTAAAAATGTTACCAATTACAGGATTAAGGAGTTAGTCATGTGGGAAAGCGGATATATGTACACATTCTGTTGCTACAGAATGTGTACACTATACTTAGTGCCAAAAACACAAAAAGAATCACCCTGGGGAGATTTTCTTTTCCACTTGCAGTGTCCACGTAACCTCGCCTTTATAACTTCAGTGCAAATAAAATGAAGTTTAGAATTGCCCCACTGGTATGTGAGATTGCAGGGACCTTGGCATTTACTAAACCTGCTATGTCATTGTCTACAAAACTGCTCAGGACCATGTACTATGAGGGAAGTTTTAAATTTAAAATGTAATCAGCACAATCACCACAAGCAATCAGTTCCTCTTCATTTCACCTGAACGAGCCCCCCGCTAAAATGAGCCTGTTAAATAGAGGATCTTATCATGCCTGGATTAAGTTTTGACTTTGATTAACATCTGTAGTCAGAGTTTAGAATGTCAAAGCTCAAGTTTGGGAAAATTTTAGTTTTTAAAATGCAAAAGCAGGCGTCATTATCAAACAAGGCTTCCACAATCTCTGGTCTTTACATTTGTATATAGAGTAAATTTGAGCCCTGGAATAGCTCTAGTAATACAAAATCTAAACAATCTAAAATTGTGATGGGTTCAAGACTCGCAACAGAAATTGAGAAAAAACAAAATCCACCTATTCATACCTCCAAAGTTCACTAGTTGACATGTATCTTTTGTTTAATTGGTAAACAAAACAGTACCAATGTCCTCAACAAACAAAAAAAAGTTGCATGTATTGCTTTAAATATCATCCGCATCACATCACACATTGAGTTGTTTTGTTCTTATAAAATTGTAAAGGGAATGAACATCTAAACAATTTCTGTTAGTAGCACTTGTAGCAATCATCCTAACATAACTGGGAACAATTGGCTTTGGGAGACCAACATACTGTGACAAGCTACACAGGTGCAGCTGCAGGTGTTCATGCATCCTGCACACCTGGCCACTACAAAGGAAAAGAAGGAGAGTCATAGAAAAATCACACAGAACAGTGGAGGCGGTGACGGCTAAGCACCACACAGCATTTGTATTGCATTAGGTTTTTGCAGTGTCAGTAAACCTGCCATGAAATTAATTCTCCATTTACCAGAGATTTAAATTGGTAAGCAATTTGTAATTTGAGACCATAAGCTCATTCACAGTGTTTGTCCACACTGCTTCAATGGGACATGAATTTAACTGTCTATATTCTATTGGCTGCAGGAGTTCTGCCATGTTTTGATAGCACTGTTTAATGAATGAATCACAAAGTGCAAAATATTGTTTTCCTATTTTTCTGGGTAATTGTTTTTAGATAAACAGTGCTGATACAGCACGGCACGGCAAATGACAACTTGGAAAAAAAAAAGGACAATGGTTCAAATGATTTACAGGAATTAGGAACAAAGTACTGTATTTGCAGATATCCAGAGTTCATTATGAAATCCATAACAAGCAGTAGTGACTGAACATTTCGTGAGATTCAGTGTCACTGAGTCTGGGCTCATTTGGCTAAAGGCAAACCAAGCACACAGAGGCTACATCCAGACTTAATAAACTGTCTCCCTGTTCACAGAGGCATGCCGAGGTGAGAACAACTCCCCAGCACATCCTCAGACACATCTGTGCCCATGCTTCTAAAGTAATGTTTCTGTTGCAGGGGAAATAGGTCAGACATGAAAACCTCGCTCCTTCCATCTCAAAAGATCCTTCACACTTAATTAAGAGTGTTATTGTTGAGGGTGAATGCAAAAACAGTTTTTTGTGTTTTTCTTAGCTTTTAACAATGTTAACGAAGGGCCTGCCGTCCTCCTAAAGTTCATTTTACCCTAAAACCTTAAATTTCAGAAGAAGCTTCATTCGGAACTGCACAGGCACAATAATGCCAACCTGGCCCTCATTTCGACAGTGAATCATTCAGATTGCACCACTGTGATTGCTTAATTAAATGCTTGGCTGTCTAATGACTTTGCTTGAAAGGAAATTAAATGTCTAAATGCTACAGAATCCGCGGCGAGGTGAACAGAAATCAATGGGACATAGTGCTGGAACCCAAGGTGTTTTCCGACTTGTTAAGGGTGAACGTTTTGTATTGATGCCGTCCCTTAGTCACTGAGTCAAAAGCTCATTCCTCTCAGTCCAAAGCATTGATTAGTGGCATACAAACAGTGTGCTTACTTTGTGCTTTCTGGGGAGGTCTAGGAAGGTAGTTTACGATGCCTCACAGGTCAGCAGAGTAGGTAAGGCTGCGATTATATAGAGAGGTAAAATTACTAATGGCATTGCCTATTATAAATTACTGGAAAAGCAATAAGTATAAAACTCAGATTAATTTACTTGCTGTAATAAGTAAATTTAGAAGACAGTCTCCTTATTTAATCCATATCACCATCTCAGTTTGAGTTCCCATACAATGCGTATTATTCCTTATTAATCACAAAATGGCAGCAAAGCGTGGCTATGTTTACTTCTCAATAACTTTCTTCCTTCTTCGAGCATATTTTCAAAGTGCTTTACCATCAAAGCCTAAAGGCAAACACTGAACCCCAACCCGAACGGAAACAGTTCTCGAAAGGAGTGTAGCCAACTAATCTCACAAACATTTGATTGAACCGAAGACCTTTAGAAACTGCCAACGTTGGGAAGGGCATACCACTCCTAAAATGACAACTGATTATCAAACTGCCTCTGGCTCGAGACACTGTAATCCCCCAGATGCTGCGGTCTATGAAATATGAGTGTGAATTAGATCTCTCAAACAATGTCAGCTTGTCTACATTTGTAAACCCTCAGCATTTAAGTCACAAAATTAAGTTGACCCCATCAGAAAGCTTTAAGACATGTAACAAAGCCGGCAGCAGTCTTATTACTTGATCTGCTTTCATCTCATCTCCTCTGTGTAATAAGTTCCCACTCTAGCAAGACCACTGGGGCTAATAAGGGTTTTTATCTGCTTTTGATATTAGATATTAACACCTCATCAAAGTTAAGCCAGCTGTAGGCTCTGGTCCGCCCTCCAAATTTACATTAGCCTAACAATGTCTCAAAAAG